GATTAATAATAATTAATAATCATAATCAGGAGAATAAGACCCATTATTGTTACTGATTTTTATTTATATGACATATTTGACTTATAAATAACACTATATCAGACATTTATATACAAGATTATAATGGACTGTTTTGCAAACATTTATATACATTTGGAATACAGTACCGTCATACCACAACCATCACCACCAGGCCATATAGTTCAGCATAATCGATTAGATCATTTTCACCGAATCCCTCCCATGTGGTGATCTAAATTTTCATTTTTCTTCTTTAGAAAGACTTACTTTTCATATATGATTTTATTAGAAATATATTTAGTTCTATTATTTTTCACTTTTAGCAACGGTTGCTTCAGTGCTGGGGTATTAATTAAATTTACACATTGTATGTATATTTGGAAAATTATAATTTTCAAAAAATAAACATGCACCCATATAAAATTCATTGTTACAATTCTAATATAGATTATTCAAAGTATTTACTGATATGGAAACATGCACATATTCATTTAATCGTCTTTGAAGTATGTTTAAATAATACCAATATTCAGAAATAATACCAGCATTACTCTAAGCCCCTTCGATATGCATTTGATCAATTGATGGAAATCTCTTCAGAGATATTTCTTGAGCCAATGTTTATTTCGACCTGCTTAACCCATACATCTTTGTTTGAGAATCTTTCAGAACAGAAAGGGATTAATTTTCCATTTATTTTCTGGCAGCTAGGGGTATAGCTCAGAGGACTAGAGCATTTACTTTGGACACAGGGATTCTAGGTTTTATCCTTGGCACCACTGGAGATTTCCCCCCAAAAGATGCTTTCCTGTGGAACATGGGTGTGAGCGTGAAGACCACACACTGCCACCACCACTTCCCACACCACTGCCTAGTGGCCCTGCCGCCCAAGCACGCAGTCTAACCCTGTTTCTAAAATCGATTTTTCTGTTTTCTCAGCTGCCGTTCCTTCTTATTCACTCAGTCTCCTTTGTTTCATGCTTTATCACTTAACCACATAAAACGTAACATTGCTCTGATATTTAATATCTGTAAAAATCCTGGCTTTTTCTTAGTACTTCTTTCAGTGTCCAGTCATGTGCTCATAAAGAAGGTCAGAGGATCCAAGTTTAACATAGCTGTAGATAAAATAGCTAAATGATTCAGGGCTGGAGAGAAGGTACAGCCTGGATGGCTCTTTCCTGGCATGTCACTGACCCAGATTCAATCCCTAGTACCAAATATGGTCCCGTAGGAGTGATCCATCAGTGCAGAGCCAGGAGCGAGCTCAAACTCAAAAATAAGGAAAAAACTAGAGCTAGAGTTGACCTCAAATTTGTTCTAATGTTTGACATCCTCTTACCTTTCATTGCCACCCATAGAAATTGTCTGTGCTAAGGAGCGATAGCACAATGGGTAGGGCTTTTGCCTTGCATATGTGGCTGACCCAGGTTCGATTCCTCCGTCATTCTCAGAGAGCCTGGCAAGCTACCGAGAGTATTCCACGCACTTGGAAGAACCTGACAAGCTCCTCGTGGTGTATTCGATATGCCAAAAACAGTAACAACAAGTCTCACAATGGAGACATTACAGGTGCCCACTAGAGCAAATCATTGAACAACGGGAGGACAGTGCTACAGTGCTACATCCCTTCTATCAATATTTTATCTTGTATATAAATAGAAATGGGCTGAAGCGATAGCACAGCGGGTAGGGCGTTTGCCTTGCACGCAGCCAACACGGCTGACCCAAGATCGATTCCTCTGCCCCTCTTGGGGAGCCCAGCAAGCTACCAAGAGTATCTCGCCTGCACAGCAAAGCCTGGCAAGCTCCCTGTGACGCATTCAATATGCCAAACATAGTAACAAGTCTCACAGTGCTACTGGGCCCACTTGAGCAAATCGATGAATAACATTGAAGGACAGTGAAAGTGATAAATAGAAATATATATATATATATATATATTTACATATATATTCATATATAGCAACATTTGGATGTTTGGGATTGAATCCATCACTTCACATTTACAAAACAAGGACCCTACATCTGAACTATTTTCCAGGATGTCACCATTTTTTAAAAATTAACAAACTGGTAATGATCTTGTCAAATGCCTTCACAATATTATTGATAGTAATGGATTTTTTTTTCTCTTTGTTCATTGATAGCACTTATATAGAAGACTGAAATTTCTAATATACATGATAAATTATAGGATATTACAATAAATATTATAGAAATACAAAGGTTCACAAAGGCCACTATAAACAACTATATGGAAAAATTTTGTGTAGGTTGAATTTCCCTTGACTTTCTGGAATAAACTTGCTTGCCAATAATATGTGATCTTTCAAAAATACTGCTGCATTTGAAAGATAGTGATTGGTTGAGAAATTTTACATCGCTATATATTCAGAAACGCTGCTTTTTTTTTCCTTTTTAGTGTTATCCTAGTCTTTTTTTTCATTATCAGGGTGATGATGGCCTTATAAAATTACTTGGAATCTTTTCCCCTCCTTTGTTTAATTGATTTGTCAATCTATTTATTTTGATGTAGTACTGTTATCTAGTCAATTGTTAATTAACTAGATTGACTTGAGCATGAATTCCAAGATCTAATTTTTTTTATATTTGAAGAGTGAGGCAGGTAAAAGAGGCACAAGTTTGTTTTTTGAAAATTTAAGCATTTGGTAAAATTCACTGGTGAAAATTGATATTTATCAATGAGGTAAAGGTAAAGGTAAAGGCCCTCCCGTTGATCGTCGATTTGCTCGAGTGGGCCCAGTAACGTCTCCATTGGAAACTTTGTTGTTACTGTGTCTGGCATATCGAATACTCTCGGTAGCTTTCCGGGCTCTCCGAGAGGGGCAGAGGAATCGAACTCGGGTCAGCCATGTTGGCCTCTTGTAAGGCGAACGCCCTACCCGTTGTGCTATCGCTCCAGCACTTACCAATGAGAATGGCTGCAATATTGATATTGAAAGGTCATTAAGAATATCCCTTTAACTGCTTTTGACCCTCAGATCTTGTCCAGCATGATCATTCCAAGCTGTTATTGTCATGCTTGTCTCTTATCTATCTTATCTACGCTCAGTTCCATACACACTTTTGGTTAATTGAGAGAGAGAGGAGAGAGAGAGGGAGAAGGAGAAAGAAAGAGAGAGAGACAGAGGGAGGGATAGAGAGAGAGAGAGAGAGAGAGAGAGAGAGAGAGAGAGAGAGAGAGAGAGGGGCTGCCCTGAGACACCTCTGATGTAGTTTGGTGTTGGGAAGCAGCAAGTCTTGGTCTTCTGTTGGGGGATCTATAATCGTGTTTTTCCTTAACTGCTGTTTCATAACTCTGAAGAAAAATTTTTGTCTTTCTCTTTCAGAGTCCTTTAACATTAGAATTTTAGTTAATAATGCTATTAGCAGAGACTAACAAAGAGAAATAAGTCTATGATGGCTTGAACAATTCTTGGATTCTTTCAGTAAAGAGGGATTGTTCTTTGCTTTATCTTGCTAAGAAGGAGAACAGTTGGTTTAGAGATAGTACAGGGCTTAAGGGATGACCTTATGACCTTGAGGAAACTAACCATAGTTTGATCGTTGGTAGCACATATGTCCAGGAGTGATCCCTGAGCACAACTAGGCGTAATTCCCAAATTATTTTGGAGATCCAGTTATTATTTATTTATTTACTGCCAACCCCTTATAAAATATATTGTTAGTTTCCTTATAAAATCAATCTTGAGTAGAACTGTAAAAGTTATAATTAATTTGTGTCAAGGTCTGGGGAAATGAATGTCAAAGCAGTTGGAAATATAATACCTAGTGTGTTATTTCTATCAACATGAATAAATTATGTGCACCTCATTTTTCTTGTTACATAAGAAACAGACCAAAACCGCTAATTTTTTATATCTAGGAATTTAAATCAAAAGTAAAATAGCCATAAAATTTTAGGCAATATGAAAAGCATTAATAATCTCTATTTCTGTCAAAGTGAAATCTAGAACTGATTTTTCAATTTTTAATGAAGAAAACTGAAAAAAACTACTTGCATCTTTAAAATAATAAAATTTTTCATCATAAACATTGTATATTTCTGGGATAGAAACTTTTGGCCTCCATATTACCTCCGGTTTGGGTTGACATATTTCGTGACAGTAGACACCATTCATGAATGTCAATAAATGGTTCAACATTCAAGAAATTGTAAGTTTTTCATTTGCTTTAACTATTTTAACATATAGAGAAAATATAAAATTTCAAAAGAATTTTAATTAACATGTTAAATTATAGCATGAAGAAAATCTTGTTTTTAAATGAATTTTTATGTAAATATTAAAGAGTGATTAGTTGACGTCACTTCAAAATATTTGAATATTTCCTTGTCTCACTTTTAACTTAATAGTTTATTCCTTTTACATTCCTTTCACAAAAAATGTTAATGTTTAGTGATTCTCCTGCTACAAACTGAAAACATATTTATGCATTATTCTCATTAGCACTGTAGCACTGTCGTCCCATTGTTCAACAATTTGCTTGAGCCTGCACCAGTAAGGTCTCCATTGTGAGACTTGTTATTGTTTTTGGCATATCGAATCCGCCACTGGTAACTTGCCAAGCTCTTGCCAAGCTCAGCAGATGGAATACTCTCAGTAGTTTGCCGGGCTCTCCGAGAGGGACGAATGAATCGAACCCAGGTCGGCTGTGTGGAAGGCAAACGCCCTACCCACTGTGCTATCGCTTCAGTCCCATTATTCTCATTACAGGATTAAAATAAATAATTTTGAGAACATAAATGTGCTCTATTAATCTTTTATTGTTTTTTAAAGAATATTTTATATAAATATTAAATTATGAAGTGGTTAGCCTTCTGAACACAAATTTTTTGAAAATTATCTTTTCCACCTTCAATATATTAGTTTATTCCTTTACACAGAAAATGTTACTGACTAGTGAGTTTCCCGCTAAAAAGTGCTAACATATTTATGCATTTTTTTCCATTACAGGATTAAAGAAGCTTCAGGTGGAGAACATAACTGTGTTATATTACTCTTATCTCACCTTCCTGCAGAGATTTGCAATCATCTAAATTCATATTATTGCAAGCATAAACTTTAGAATTAGTATAGCTATATATGGATTCTATTGAAAAAATTGATAATCTTAAATAGAATAGCTTAGTTTGCATCTAATAATGCCCTCACCAAATAAAATTGAAATGTACAGAAATAAAGTTTTAGTAATTACTGTAAAGTTTCTGGGCTGGAGAGATAGCACAGTGGTAGGACATTTGCCTTGCACGCAGCCAGCCGGGCTGAGCTGGGTTCGATTCATTCGTCCCTCTCGGAGAGCCCAGTAAGCTACCAAGAGTATTTCACCTGCACGGCAAAACCTGGTAAGCTACCCGTAATGTACTCAATATGCCAAACGGAGTAACAATAAGTCTCACGATGGAGACGTTACTGGGCCTGCTCGAGAAAATTGATGAACAATGGGAGGACCGTGACCATAAAATTCCTATATGTACCTTTTCTATTTCAGGGAAATTATTTCGGTATTTCATCCAAGTATGAACTTTACTGAATTATTGTCATACTTATATTAAAGTTATTTACATTTTTATTGGGCTGGAGCAATAGCACAGCGGTAGGGCATTTGCCTTGCATGCAGCCAACATGGCCATCCAAGTTCAATTCCTCCGCCCCTCTTGGAGAGCCCAGCAAGCTACCGAGAGTACCTCGCCTGCGCGGCAGAGCCTGGCAAGCTACCTGTGATGTATTCAATATGCCAAACATAGTAACAAGTCTCACAATGTTACTGGGCCCGCTCGAGCAAATCGATGAACAACTGGAGGTCTGTGACCGTGACATTTTTATTCAATAGAATAATATTCCAATTTTTCTATATTCTATAAAGAGTGGTGGTAATTTTTATTTTTTTGTTTAGATTAGAGTAATAACTATATTCCACTTCATGTTTGTAAAATAATGTTAAAGTAACCCTGCATTGTTATAATAAATCTACAGTGAGTGGATGTGCAATTTTTGGTTTTAAAATAGGTGTGTATATATATTTATATTGAGATGTTTTCTTAGCCCAATATCACAAAGAGATTAGAATAAGTTTTTATTTATAACTGCATACTTAAATTTTACCAAAGGTATATAAGGAATCATTCGTTTATTGCATTATCTGATGCTAATTTTATGATAGGACTCATACACACACACACACACATACACACACACACACACGCACTCACACTCACATACACACAAGTCTATATCATTGACATATTGACATATGCTTGTGTCTATATCATGTATATGTCTGTGTTTCTATCATATACATGTCTACATCATTGAAGGGTGCTCACATATGTGTGTGTATATATGTATACATATATCACTTGTATCATTTGTCATCCTGTGGATTCTGAGTGACAGGAGGTGGGTGGCTTGATTTGCTTGAGTGGGCGCCACTAACATCTCCATTGGTCCCTGTCACATGTTAGTGTAGCCCAATGGTGTCTGCTCTCTCCAAGGACATGAAAAGCATTAATTAAACCGTAGTTCAGGGTCTTGGCAAAGAAGTCCCACCATCTTGTAGGTGGTGGCCAGGCATTCTTTAGCCGTCCATGGAATCCAATTGGTAACGGCTCTAGTCCAGCAGTCATCTACAAATCACATTACCTGTCTGTTCATATGATTTTCGACACCTTGGTAAACGATCAGCGTCCATGATCCTCGATGGTTCACGAAGGACCGAACACCGAATTCCTTCTCTCACTTGAGTGAAGTGATATATATATATGTCAGATATTGAAGTACTCCAACAGTGCTCAGGGACAGTGAAGAGGGGTTCTTTCTAGCAGTGATCTGGGAAACATGCGAGGTACTGTAGATCAAGCAGGATCCAACTGCAAGGAAAATAGCCCTTACCATGTATATTTTATTTGTTTGTTTTGGTGTCACATGGATATTGCTAAGGACTTCTCCTGTGTCTCTTTGTTGTACTGCACCTTTGTAATTTTCATTTTCTTGGATTTTTCAGTTTCTTTAGAGATTAAAGTATGTTTGTAATTTTTCATTATTATTTGTTTATGTGTATAAAATTATCACTATTGAAAATGAAAGATTTTGTCTTTCCAATTTTCTCAACAGTTATTTTTTTCTTCATTTTTATTTATCTTTATTTTCTATTATTCTTTATTTTTTTCTTTATCAAGAAAACACCTTGGCTCTAGTGGTCCTCTAACTCCATTCTGATGATGCCACATGTTTCTAAAATTATCAGTTTCTTTCTTTTACTTCCCTTGCTCCTTTTTTTTTATTTCCAAATCTGGTACTGTTGAGCCACATCCAAGGTGTTCAAGAGCTGTTTCTGGCACGTGTTTATGAATTACTCACGGCAAGGGGATCATAGGTGGTTCTAAGGATAGAACCTGAGTCTGTCTGACTTTCATACAAGGAAGCGCCTTATGTCCTGTGCTTGCTCTCTGACCCTTTACTTTCTGCTAAAAACAGCAACAAGTCTCACAATTTGTTGTGAGATGTTACTGGTGCCTGCTCAAGCAAATCCAGGAACAACGAAAGTACAGTGCTGCAATGCGACATTCCCCCTAATTCAGCCTTGGGTTTCGTTTTGTAAATGCATCTTTCTCTCTCTCTCTCTCTCTCTCTCTCTCTCTCTCTCTCTCTCTCTCTCTCTCTCTCTCTCTCTCTCTCTCTGCCCTAGTTCTATTTTTGAGCCCTTTTTGCTTTTTTGTTTTCTTACTCTCTCCTTCCTTCCTTCGTTCCCATTTATGTCTGCACAGAATAGACTTAATTTCATAATTTTCTTTCAATTCATATGTAATGTGAAAGTTGACTCTGTCCATTTACTAAATTGCTCTGTTAATTAAGGATACATTAGTGAATTTAAAGCCAAGTAAGAATATTCATGAATTTAATTTTCACTGCTGTTTTAGGTAAACTCCTGTTAGAAAAATTTTTGTAAATCTTTGAATTTCCAACATTTCTTTTGAATATGCCTTATGTGATTGAGTAACCACTCTTAACTTTTCATTTTATTTTATTTTTGTTTCTGTGTCAAACCTGGTGGTGCTTGGGCTTTTCCTCGCTCTGTGCTCGGGGACCACTCCTAGCAGTGCTCAGGGGATCATACTGGATTAGTCAAGTGTAAGGCAATCTCTCACCCTCTGAGTTATTGCTCTGGCCCCTTTAATTTTTAATTTTATTTAAGGTAAAGGTAAAGGTAAAGGCCCTCCCGTTGATCGTCGATTTGCTCGAGTGGGCCCAGTAGCGTCTCCATTGGAGACTTTGTTGTTACTGTGTCTGGCATATCGAATACGTCACGGGGAGCTTGCCAGGCTCTGCCTTTCGGGCAAGATACTCTCGGTAGCTTGCCAGGCTCTCCGAGAGGGCAGAGGAATCAAACTCGGGTCGGCCATGTTGGCCGCTTGTAAGGCGAACGCCCTACTGCTGTGCTATGGCTCCAGCCAATTTACTTTTATTTAATTAAATTAATTTTAATTTTATTTAATTAACTTAAAATGAACTTAGATGTCTACATTTCATATGGTTGATCTTGGCTAGTGTCTGTTGGAGGAACACCAAAGTTCAGTAATGTTATAATAATATTGTAAGAATTATGAATGTATACTACACCTAAAATGTATGTGATCATAAAAGATTATCTTATTTGTGCATTTAATATATGCATAGAATATTTTATATGCTATGATTTGGTGTGTATACAGTACAGATTTGTGTGTAAATAATATTCTATGCAGGTAGATCAAATTGTTTCATAAGCATTAAAAATTTTAATTCACCATTTTTGATTATTTTTTTCTTACTTTTTGCAAACCTATTATTTTATTATGCTCACAAGGCTCTCATAAACCACTGAAAATAAATTGTAACTGTACACATCATTGTGAAACCATGACTTTTTTCAACATTGATTCAATTGATTTCCTTTTTAATATATTCTTTCATGTTTTAAACTTTAATATTGTAAATGCTTATTAAATCTGTCTCTAATAAAAATACATTTATATAAACATTCTCATTGAATGTAAATTATTTTACAATTTTATTTGTTGTGCAAATAAATATATTTGTATATTTTCTTTGCTTTTTGAGTCACACCCAGGGATGCACAGGGTTTACTCCTGGCTCTGCACTCAGGAATTGCCCCTGGTGATGCTCAGGGAACCATCTGGGATTCTGAGAATGAAACCTGGGTTGTCTGTGTGCAAGGCAAACGCCCTACCTGCTGTGCTATTGCTCCAACCTCTACAAATGAATATTTTTATGTCATAAGAACTATGCATATCGTTGTTTCAAAAATGTTGATAGAATTAATTTTTCATATAAGTTAACTACTCTTTTATATTGAATACTACTATTTCTGTGAACTTGGTTTTAGTTTCTCCACAATGTCTATTTTTAGTGCCACATACATTATGTGCTAATTTACTGTTTGATTTCCAAAATATTCATTTTTCTGGTCACTAGATATTGCCGTCATCCTAAATAGTAATATGTGTATTTGCTGATATCATAATAAGTGAATGAACATCACTTATTTAAAAATAGTTATAATTTTATTTTTTAAACAGCTGCAGAATGAACCATATGTTTCATGTATCAAATTGTATTGTGTATGTAACACTATTTAATTTAAAAAGAAAACAAAGTGATAAAATGGGTATAAAACTTCAAGTACTTCAAATTCAAAAAGGCAGCATTAGTGAGCATGACCCTATTTGGTGAATTGGTGAATAACTTAAGTCTTACAATTTTATAATATGAGTAATCGAAAGTTGAAAATAACCATTTTTTAATGCTGCAACACCTGTCACTTCACCTAGTATGTATTTCCGGCCACCAATTTCGCCAATTTCCCTTCTTCCACCGCCATGCCCAGTTTACCTTTATGGCAGGCACTGTTCTTCTGTATGTCTCTCCTTTTAACTTAATACAAATGCAATCATTAGAAAAATGCATAAACTTAGTCACTTTTCATTTATGGCATCTTTACCGATAGTACAGATCATTAAAATGCAACAATGAATTTTGTGAAATTTTCTTAGATTTCATAAAGATACAACAAAGTCTCCAGTGGAGACGTTACTGGGCCCGCTCGAGCAAATCGATGATCAACGGGAGGGCCTTTACCTTTACCTTTACCTAGATTTTTCTCTAAATTCAGTCTCCCAGTGAGCAGTTTAGAAGTGAATTTTCACAGGAATGATAGATTTCTACTTTTTGGATACAAAATGAGAAATCATTAAAAGAATTTCTAAAAAAAAATTGTAAATCTACAACTGTACCTCATGGTGTTTCACTAATAAAAAAAAAGAATTTCTTTAAATATAAACCAGACTGAAAGATTTAATAATCTTATTTTTTGATGTCACTGTGACTTTTAACTTGTGATTTAAAAGTCTGCTTTGGGGGTCAAGTGATAGTTAAGTGGGTCAGGCCCTTGCATATGGCTGAATCAGGTTCGATCTCTGTCATCACTTAAGGTCCCCCAATACCAGCCAGGAGTGACCCCTGAGCATAGAGCCTGGAATAAGCCCTAAGCATAGCCAGGGGTGACTACAAAACAACCCTTACCCCACTATACCCACTCCCATCTGCTATTTTTATAAAGCTAAATGATAGTACAGCAGTAATCAAGGCACTTGCCATGTGCCTGGCCCCTCCCAGGGCTCCCCCCACTCCACATCCCATATATTCCCCTGAGAACCCACAGGAATGATCCTGAAGCATGGGAATACGCACTGAACATTGCAGAGATGGCCCTAAATCCAAACAAACACAAAAACAAAAGTTACTTTTCTCTTTCTCCCATTTTTTTAGTGATATTTAAAATATAGTATCTTGGGTGGGCCCAAGTAATAGTTGGGTGGGTAGACAGGTTGCCTTCTACAGTTGACCCTGGTTTGATCCTGCATCACATACCGCCACTTGAGCACTGCAAAGAGTCATCCATGAGTGCTGAGTCAGAAATGAACCTGAGGACTGCCAATTGTACCCTCCTCGCTTTAAAAAAAAAAAAAATGATCTTGGAGCCACACTTCTTTGTATGAATCAGGCCCAGGTTTGATCACCTGCTCCCCATTTGGACCATGTGCCAACCAGTAATGATCCCAGAGCACAGAACCAGAGTACTACTGGGTGACACCCAAAATTCAAACAAATCAGTAGATAAATAACAGCATCTGCATTTCCGCCTAAATAAGTTAGACTTTACTTGTAATATTTCTAATAAAAATTCATGTAAAGAAAGAAAGCTAGGTATCATTAGATAATAAGTAACTGAATATCACATTGAGTAATTATTTCATATTTAATCAATGTATCATGATTGAATTGAGTATATTTTAATGCTTTATATTTCCCAAAGACATATTTTATGTGAAATTTCAAGCTTTTTATAAAAATAAAATTTAATTTAGGTAAGGTAAAGGTAAAGGCCCTCCCGTTGATCGTCGATTTGCTCGAGCGGGCCCAGTAACGTCTCCATTGGAGACTTTGTTGTTACTGTGTCTAATTTAGAAATTTCAAAAAAACTTGACAGTAGTTAGGAAAACTGACAATTTTTTTTGGTCACAATAAATCTGAAAAGGTCACTGTCACTGTCACTGTCTTCCCGTTGTTCATAATTAATAAAAACTGTAGAAATTCTTCAGAAAATAAGTAGTGTATCATAAATTGTCTATTATTAATAGACGATAAATTTTGAAATATTTGTCTTAGAATAAATGTGCCACATGAGAGGTTGAGGAAAAGTTATATAATACCAAAATTTAGCAATTGTGTCTAAATTTTTAGTATTTGTGCAGAGATGCAAGTAGTTCAACAACAAAGGATGGTCAAGTCTATTGTACCCTGACACCTAATATTACACGAACAATCTCTCAGAAGGGACAAAGGAAATAATAGATTAGAAACTCAGAGTCTCCTGTATTGTTGAGGTGTGTTGCTACCATTTTTTAAATAAAAGTATAAGGGTTTCCCGCTGAAAGGGAGGAACCTACCTGACCCCATTATGAGAAGGCCCCCGTGTTCTCAGCCCAGACCAGTCTACTTGGGAAGAACTGGTGGTGTCATATTCTTTTGTGAAACTGGGTTGTTTCCCTGTTGGCAAGTCATCTACGTTACTCTTAATGAGATCTAAGGTTTTAGTACTTCTTGTTGAGATGGAAGCAACTGAATAGTAAAGGATGGTCAAGTCTTTTGTACCAACCCTCCCTCCCATAGCTCTTTTTTCCAAGGTATTTGCCAATAGACAAAATAAATGACAGACTAGAAACTCAGAGTCCTCTGTACGGTGGAGGTGTGTCTTTAACTCTCTTTAAATTCAAATCTAAGGATTTCCTGTTAAAATTTCAAGTGACAGTACAATAAGGAATCTAGTTTTTTTTTTTTTTTTCACTTTTGCTTTGCATTCTGAGTCTTCACAGGTCAGTCTGTCCAGACCACGGATATTTCACCCCTTGAAAGTTCTTTTTTCACACCAGGTTTTATCTGTAGAGGACACTTCACATCCTGGCCAGCAGAAGGTATTTGTTGTTGCTTTTCTCTCTAGCAGTTCGTGAAATACTATGAAAACCAGAAATGAAACAACTGATATACAATTAATAAATGACCAAATCAAATAGAACATTAGTATCTCTGCTTGAAAACTCAAGGTGGGAAAAGGATAAAAATATAAAACATACCAGAATTTCTTCATGATTCAACTTCCTAATTTTAAAGAATCAGTCAATTGTATATTCACATACATGCCCGACTTTGTTAATCAATACAGTATAACTTATAACTCTATAAATATCATGACAATGAGCAGTTTGTTTCGGTATTTGTAAAGAGTTTGACTTCTGTATGTACTCTATTTTTAGCTATGCCTATAAAAATATCTTTCTAAAATGAATTTATCTGGTCATACATATCAAACAAAATATTTCATACAGTGATTTATATTAAACAAAGTTATTGTAGCTCTTAAAAACATTAGGATTACAAAGCTCCCATATGTTCCACCCTTCACAAATTATTAAAAACCAAAAGATCTTGAAAAATATTGAACAAGTATGATAAGCATACATGTATCACATCAACAAAAGCCTCTCTTATATTTTTAATCTCATACTTCTGTTATTATGAATAAGAAATCATAAATATTAATTCTGTGAATATAACAATAAAATCAACTATATATTATTATAATATAATGAAACCAGTCTGTTAAATATTTCACATGAATAATAATCTGCATATTTTTATTCTTACTTTTGCTGATATAAAATCAGGTGTGTCTTTAACTCACTTTAAATTCAAATATAAGATTTTCCTGTTGAAATTTCTAGTGACGCTTGTATAGGGAATCTAGCTTTTTGCACTCTTAATTCTCATTCTGAGCCTTCAAAGGTCAGTCTATCCAGACCACAGATAGGCTGTACTAAAGGATAGTGTGAAATCTTTAAACTTATTAAGCACAAAAGGTTGTAAATATAAAAGTATTTGTGGGGTCTTATCCAGGCCTTTATTCAGTGCGCTCACATGTCCAGCAAGTGGCTGCCGCCTAGGAACCTGAGGACAGGGCAGAGCTTCTCTCCAGCTAGGGGAGAGGTTCCAGGGAAAAGAGCAAATCTTGCCACTGCCTCCTCCAAGGAAAGAAAAAAAAGTACACAAGCATGGTGGGAGGTCCTGTAAAGATTAATCCACTTTCTTGAGAGACATCACGCCTTTATTTAGGCTGAGGAGGGTGGTGGGAGTATGCAACTGGTCATGTACACAGGATGATCAGAACAAACGTGTTTTCTGTAGATAGGGCCACAACTTCACAGCACATTTACCAGAAACATCCTGTCCCCAGGTAACATTGAACTGTGATATGCATTGTAGCAGGTTGCACATCAAAGCAGATCAAAGAGGCTTTTCTCCCGACAGTATGAATTAATATTGTGTATCAGTTACACTACTTTATCTGATATATTTCCATTGATAATTTAATTGACTGATTTGACAGCCAACATTATCTTTATGAAAATTTGAATAAACAACTTTTTCCCACAGATAATCTTTCATTGCTGAGGAGGCAAATATTGGCCACTGAACAATTGCCAGCTTCTTAGGCAGAATATTATTTAAAACCATTAAAAATGTTTTTCTCTTTTTGTATCCCCAGCAAGTAATATTGCATCAAATTAATATAATTAAACTTAAAATGTGTTCCTTCATGATGTTCATGTTTAAATCTTTAGGAAAGTGACAACTCAGTTTTTTTATTGTTAACCTGTAAAATAACTATTACTCAAGTCACCCCACCCACAGTGACTCTGTAAGGATCTTGATCACACCCTCTATTAACTGCTGCATGTAATCAGGAGAGTGCACAGTCCCTGCCACTAAGCAGCTCAGAGATGAGACGCCAAAGAGAAAACGACCCACAAATGAATTTGAAACCAGGAAGACAGTTAATGATAGGTAAGGGTACTAATAACTTCATTTCAGCAACATACTAATAGCAAATAAAGCTGGAAGTAAACCTTGAAAATGTTTCTCAGAACATTTAAAGGCCTAACAAGTATTCTCAGTGCAAAGGTAAAGGAATGAATAGACATTTGACTGTCTGGAATGCAACAACTGGGTGTGGAGGTGCAAGGAAGAAATGGGAATGAGGCTTATATACTTTTCATTGGTGGAATCAAAACTTGAAGAAGTTGGATTATGGTGTTCTAATATGAAATCTAAGGGCTCATTTTACTCATGCATTGTAATTTGAAGACTTGAATTAAAAAAAAATCTCTTGGAACATTGTATTTCTTGAAGATGCAGTGGTATTTTGTACAGTAAGATTACAATTTTCCCTAGTGCTTTGGTTAATGTAATGCCTGTGCTTCTGGTTTCTTATGAAAATAATTATATGATTAACAACATTTCTCCTTTTTGTGTGTTACCATTACTTCTCCTGCAGATTTCCCCTTACCTTTGGAACAGCTGACTGCTGAGGTCCTGGGAATTACCTGCTTGGTCTTGCTGTCTACCCTAGTGAAAACCATAATCCTTATTTCTTGTAAGAATGTGTTTAAGGGGTCTGGGGTAAGACTCAATGGGCAGAAGTCAGGAGTAGCTCCTGAGCATAATCATGTGTGCGCCAAAACAAAAATTAAAAAACACAGCTGAAAATTTCAAGGATGAAAATTTCAAGGAAAATGTTCAATTTAATAATGATCAATGCGTATATACATTTAAATATCATGAAAAATGACTTATTTTATATGTGAATTTAAACAGCCTGGTTATTCTAAATATAGTAAAAGATTAAACATAAAAATATACATTTATTAAATTAAAATTATCAGCACATAAATATTTTATTGCAATTTACATTAAAATTATAACAGAGCAACTGTAGAGACGTTATAATTATTAACTTATTTCATGAATAAAAGAAATGTAATAAAAGAATGAAACGTCTCATTGAGAAATACATATTCATTTTGAGATATTTTAAACAAAATATTTATGAAATATTATGAATAGTCATATTTTTACCATATGCTTATGAAATCGACTGCCAAGTCTTCAACATTATTATTTTATGGTTAAATAAATTTTATTGTAGGTCATTTTAACCTAAAACAACATAATTGATCTCAAATTAAAGAATCATCCTTATGAATATTATTCAAAATAATTTGGCAAGGGAACCAGGACCAACATCACCAGCTGCCTACTGCTGAAAAACTATGCTTCCAAAATCTCTTGATGTTGATTCCATATGTAGAACAAGGGAGCTGCCCTACGTGTGCCGATCATGGCAGAAGCCCTTTTTAAAAATAAATTTTTATAGAATTACTTTCCATTTTTCTAGATATTGAAATTGAAATACCAGTATTGAATAATGCATCACTAGTGATACGGACTCAAAAAGGTATATAATGCTCTTTGAAATTCTAGCAATACCACAATTTATGTTTTTTTTCCTTTTTTCCCAAGATTTTGTAATATTAAAGAGCATAAGGTACAGATCTCTCATTTCAATGCAAGTATATATAGACTAGTGTAAATTGACTATTTAGAATTTATAATAAGAATCTATACAGTACTATAGCGAATTTATATATATATATACTTTATAATAAAACATGTTTTCGGATACTAAAAGACCTTATAAGTAAATGTAAATAATTTTTTAACTTGTTAACCCAAATACAGAGAGAGATGTGATTTCATTTCTTTAAGTTTTTAAGATATTTTCCCATTCAAACTTAATTCTTTATATTGTTCTCCTTAATAAAATTCATTTTATCAGAACAGTCCATGCTGGAGTTACCTGCATAATTTCTCTTCCCTTACTTCAAAGTACTCTGTTCTGGATTGCCTAAAATGTGAAATTCAGAATCTGAATTTTCTTTACTCTTTTTGGTTTCTTGGGTTTGCTTTATTTCTCTTCTCTCTGCTTCTCTCTTCCCTTCTTTCTATTCGTCTCTCTCTGTCCACATTCCTCTTAGAATTAGTACCCTCGCTCAATAATACTATTTTCACTTTGCACACAGTTTTATTGCATACTATTTTAAACTTTAACAATACAAAAATTTGGTAAAAATTATAAAAATAAGTTATTCTTTATATGTTTTTTCATACCAATTACTTTTATGGACTTTTATTTTCTAATTTTTTAATTTTGTTTCCCCTTAAATTCATTAACATTTCGACTTAATCCATACCAATTTTGGCTCAAACATCTTATAGCTAAAAATGATGGTAAATAAGTTATTCAAGCTTAAAAATTGTTTATTTGTGACTAATGTAGATACATAGAGTGGGAATTTTTTGTACGGTATTTGCCTTATATTGACACGTATATTAAGGGATGAGAAACTGACCCTTACTGGGATTGTTTGCATGTGACTTGTACATTGTATGTATCACATCCTGACAGTGCAGAGCTTATAGTAAACATGCATGTTTTTACCTATGCACATGTAGCAGATCTATTTGTTGTTCATAATTCAACTTTTCTATTGATAGCTCAAGATAACTCTCTGGTGTCTCATTGTGCCCATTGTCCTCCTGAGGGATTTACATATTACAACAATTGCTATTATACAAAGCATGAAAAAATGACATGGAATGAGAGTGTGATGGCCTGTGCTTCTCACCAGTCTAACCTGCTTTATATAGAGAGTGAAGAAGAAATGGTAAGAGTTTAACGTTTCGACTATATTACAAAAAACAGTTCAGTTAATACTTACTCATTTTTGCATATTTTATTGTATATTTTGTACACTGCACAGATCCACTTTTAATATTTCAGTCATGCAATTTTCTTTCATGTTATAATGCACATTTAATTTATCATCCTTACTTTTTTTCTGGAAAGATATGTTTTCACAAATGCTTTTAATAATTTCTTCCATTTAAGCTAAAGATTATAATATTCACTCACATTACTGCTATTTATAGGTATTTAACTGGATTTAATTAATTTCAAATGAATCAATCGTTATAGTGTGCTCTTCAGTGCAATAAGAAATTGACACATTTTTCATTCTGCTAGGGACATAAGAAAACTCCAAGTTTCAAAGAAGGCAGTTCTATCAGTCTCTCTGTTATCATTGAAAAGTCATATGAGAATCTTGGATAGTGAAAGCAAAGTATGAACAGTATGTTCAAAATTATAAAACAACTTCTAAACATTATAGCAAGATAAATTTTATAAAATGAATAAAAATTTTTAAAAAACACCAAGTCAGTAGAACATAGAATTCTTTTCCCACCCTATGTCAGATTTTCTTCCTCCCCCACTTTCTTCTCAGACAACCATAGTTCTCTTGTCATTGACCACTTTTTTGTCTTTTATTTTGCTTTTTCTGCGATCAATTTTTCCCTAATTAGGACATAGGCAGAATCTTCTATTTGTCTGTTTCCTTCAGACAATTTTTGTAGCATAATTTTATGGAGCTCATTTCATTTTGTTTGCAAATATCAAAGTTCCAATTTTATAAATAGTTACACTGCATACGATTGGATTAGTGTACCATATCTACTTTATCTGGTCATTTTGAGGACACTTAAGTTGCTCATTCTTAGTTATTTTAAATAATGTGTATCAAAAAACTTGGGCGACTTTAACCTCTGTGTTAACGTTTTCATGTTCTTTACGCTGATATGCAAATGTGAGATTACTGAGTTCGCAGTATTTCTTTCCTTAGGTGTTTGAGGTTAGTCCATACTGTTTTCCAAGTTGGTTGTTTCAGGATCCGTTCTCATTACATTCCCTTCGTAAGCGCTGTATTTTCCCTACATCCTCTCAACACTTGTTACTACTATAGATGTCGGTCATTCTCACAGGTGTGAGCTCTCGCTGTACAATTTAATTAGCGGTTTCTCAAAAATGACATTTTTATTCAATACCATGCAGTTTTAATTATTGTCAATCTGAAGTATAGGTTAAATCAGGATGCAAAGTGCTTTCATATTGTTTCTATCTTAGAATTTCCATAACTATATAAGATTTTTTATTATTCTATATAAGCACTAGCCTCGTTTTGTCCTATCTCCTTCAAAATGTAATTGTTGGTGCTGAAGTGCAGGTACAGCAGGTAAGATGCTTGATTTACACTGCTCATGATTTAACTGGGCTCAGTTCCCAACACCACATATGATCTTCCTGGGCTTAAATGAAGACAAAGTTCTGGGCATAAAGACAAAAATGTTCACATTTTTGAAATTATTAATGAAATTGCATTAAATCTGCATGTTGCTTTCAGTAAACTGGTAGTGTTTGAAATATAAATTTTCACTATCCATACACAAAAATATCTTTTCATAGTTTTTGTTTGTGCAGGAAGTCTTGAGCATTTCAATTGTGCTGACTCTGTGCTCAAGATCTTGGCACATCTTGGGGAACCATAGGTCCGGCTGAGATTTAAGTGGGGCCTGATATATGCAATTCAAGCATCTTAACCACTGTACAATCTCTGGTGGAGATTGTACACTGGTGGATACATGGCTGCTGGAACACTGTATGATTTAAATCCAATAATGAACAGCTTTGTAAGGGTCTACCTCACCTCACAGTGATACAATAAAAATTTTTAAAAAAGAGCTGGGGGGATGGCTGTCCTGAGTCACCTTTTATGTAGTTTGGTGTTGGGAAGCAGTAAGTCTTGGTCTTCTCTTGGGTTATCTATAATAGTGTTTTTCCATAACTGTTGTTTCATAACTCTGGAGAAAACTTTTTGCCTTTTTCTTTCAGAGTCCTTTAATGTTTACATTAGAGTTTTAGTTAATAATGTTATTAGCAGGGACTAACAGAAAGAAATAAGTTTATGGCAGCTTAAACAGATTCTTGGACTCTTTCAGTAAAGAGGAATTTTTCTTTGCTTTATCTTGCTAAGAATGAGAGCAGTTGTTGGCTTAGAGATAGAACAGGGGTTAAGGAATGGTCTTATGACCTTGAGGAAACTAACCCTAGTTTGGCCCCTGGTACCATATATGTCCCTCTAGTACTTCCAGGAGTGATCCCTGAGCACAACTCGGTGTAGCCCCCAAACAAATAATTTTGGACATGCAGTTATTATTTATTCCATCACTGCCAATCTCTTAAGAAATCTTCTGTTAGTTTCCTTATAAAATCAAACTCTGTGTAAAACTGTAACAGTTACAATTAATTGGTGTCAAGGTCTGGGAAATGAATGTCAAAGTAGCTGGAAATATAATATCTAGTGTGTTATTTCTATCAACATGAATAAATTATGTGCACCTTATTTTTCCTTTTAAATAAGAAACAGAAGAAGACCACTAATTTTTGATATCTAGGAATTTAAATCAAAAGCAAAATAGCAGTAAAATTTTAGCCAGTATCACTGTATCACAGTCATCCCTTTTATCTTCTAATTACACGAGCAGGTGCCAGTAACAACTCTATTCCTCCCATCCCTGAGCCTCTTCTTACTCATCTTTTCCCAAGATTGGAGGCTCTTTAAGGGTCAGGGGAATGAGATTTATTGTCGTTACTGTATTTGTATTTGGCATACCGAATAAGCCACAGGGAGCTTGCCAGGCACTGCCCGTGTGGACAAGATACTCTTGGTAGCTTGCTGGGATCTCGGAGAGGCATAAATGGGTAGGAAGTGTCTTATATTGTGTTGCGGGGACACAAACTCAGCCCAGAGCATGGCAGTGGTTGGGCAGTGAAGGTTGGATGCCGGGGCTGGGTCCCTTGGGTTGGGGAGGGCAATACGAAAAAGCATTAATCTCTATTTTTGTCAAATTAAAAATCTAGCGATGACTTTTCATTTTTAAATTATCATTTGAAAAAATAGCTATTTGCATCTTTAAAATCATAAAATTTCTCATAATGAACATTATATATATTTTCAAATAGAAATTTCTGGTCTCCATATTACCTCCGATTTGGGTTGGAATATTTCGTGACAGCAGACATCATGCATGGATGTCAGTAAATGGTTCAACTTCCGAACTAATGTAAGTTTTTTGTTTGTTTTATCTATTTTAACTGTATAGAGAAAATATGAGATTTTATAATAATCTTAATTAACTTGTTAAGTTTTATAGTCTCTGGGTCTTGCCCATTGATGGAATTACATGGCACTGGGAGATGGAGAATCTGGGTGGAGGATGCTTAGTGCCGATCCAAGCAGGCTTGTAGATCTGAGCCCCGGGACCCACATGCCTTTGTTCCTCTGTAGGTACCTTCATGCGTGTGGAGAGTGGTCTCAGCATGGTGGTGGCTGGTTCTGGAGGTCTTCGGCTGCGGAGCTCTGCCCAGGTCCCAGAAGAGAATAGCGCAGAGTCTCCTGCCCCCACACCTGGCTATTTTCGCTGGGGCCCCTTGGAGGGGGGTGGGTTGAGTTGAGTTTCCCTCCCCGCCCTGAACAGAGCTCTGGCAGCCGAAGACCTCCAGAACCAGCCACCACCATGCTGAGACCACTCTCCACACGCATGAAGGTACTGGAAGAGGAACAAAGGCATGCGGGTCCCGGGGCTGAGATCTCCAAGCGTGCCAGGATCAGGGCTGAGCATCCTCTACCCAGATCCTCCATCTCCCAGTAGGCAGGGGTCACACCCACCATCTGACCCCCAGCACCGTGCAATCCCATCAACGACCAAGACCCGGAGACCATAAAATCCTGCTCCTGGAAGCGTGCATCCGCATTTGCAGCCATGCGACATCTTATTATCTCATTCTTACTTTTCACAACCTGGCAGACTACCGAATGTAACCTGCCCACACAGCAGAGTCTGGCAAACTTCCCGTAGCGTACTCAATATGCCAAAGACCAGTAACAATGATGGGTCTCATTCGCCTAACCCTGAAAGAGCTGTGAATATGGAACTTTTTAAAATCTCAGGGCTAGGACGAAGGAAACGTTACTGGGGCCTGCTCAAGGCAATCGATGAACAACAGGAAATTCATGATTGTGAACTTGTTAAATTTCAGCATGAAGAAAACATTTTTAATGAATTTTATGTGAAATATTAAAGTACAGAATGGTTAGTTTACCGGGGTTCAAAATATTTGAAAATTTTCTTTCTCACTTTTAATATATTTCTTCTTTATAAAAAATGTTACTCTTTAATGAGTCTCCTGCTAAAAAATGGCAACATAATTGTGCATTTTTCCCATTACAAGATTTAAAAAAATCACTTTGAGAACAGAGCTCTGTCATATTAATCTCCTATTGTTTGTCAGCAAATTTTTTATATAAATATTAAAGTATGGAGTGGTTAGTTTTCTGACCCCAAATTATTTGAAAATTGTCTTTTCCACCTTCAATACATTAGCTTATTCCTTTACACAGAAAATATTACTGATTAGTGAGTTGCCTGACCAAAAGCGCTAACATATTTATGCATTTTTTTCCATTGCAGGATTGAAGAAAATTCAGTTGGAGAATATAACTGTGTTATGTTATACTTATCTAGTCTCCATTCGTTTATTTGCAATTATTCAAATCTATATTATTGCAAGCATAAACTTCAGAATTAGTACAGGTTCTATTGAATAAATTGATAATCATAGAGGATAACTCATTTTGCATGTAATAATGACCTTACAAAATAAAATAAAATTGAGATGTACAAAAACAAAGTTTTCGTAATTACTGTAAAGTTTCTATATGTATCTTTCCTACTTCAGGAAAATTATTTATATATTTCATCCCAACTATGAGGTTTGTTGAATTTTTGTAAAACTTATCATTAAAGTAATTCCCTATTTTCTTCAATAGAAAAATATTCCCATTTCCCATTTTTCTATTAGAGTCTATAAAGAGTGGTGGCAATTTTTATTGTTTTTGTTTAGATTAGAATAACAAATATTTTCTATTTCATGTTTGTAAAATAATGTTAAAATAATTCTGCATTTCTAAAATTAATCTACAGTGAGTGGATGTACTATTTTTGTTTTTAAAATCGGTTTGTATCTATATTTATAGTGAGATGTTTTCTTAACGCATTATCATAAAGAGATTAGAATAAGTTTTTGTTCATAACTATATACTAAGATTTTATCATGGCTACATAAGAAAGCATTCACGTATTGTATTACAAGATGGTAATTGTATGATAGAACACACACACATACACACACAAACACACATGTATATCTTTATCATTGATATATCAACATATAGACATATATATTTCTATATCTATATCACATATATGTCTACATCATGGAAGGGTGCTTATATATATGTGTATATATGTATATATAATATATATACATATATATATATAGTCAGGGACTGAACTATTCCAGCCATGCTCAGGCACAGTGCTCAGGGCTTCATCTGGGGAACATATGAGGTGCTATAGGACAAGCAGGATCCAACCGCAAGGAAGAGAGCGCTTATCAACTATATTTTGTTTGTTTTGGGGTCACATTGGGCAGTGCTAAGGACTTCTGTTCCTATTTGTTGTGCTGCATCTTCGTAAGTTTCATTTTCTATAGAGATTAAAATATATTTATAATTTTGCATTATTACCTGTTTATAGACGTAAAAAGCATCACAATTGAAAATGGAAGTTTTTTGTCTTTCCAGTGTTCTCAACAGTCCTTTTTACCATTGTTACCATTATTTCTTATTATTGTGAAAGCACCTTGACTCTGGTGCTCCCTAACTGCTGTTGTGATGCTTCTAATAATTATCAGTTTCTTCCTTCTACTTCCTTTGATCTTTTATTCCTCCCCCCGCCCCCAAATCTGGAATGTTAAACCACATCCCAGGAGTTCAAGAGCTGTTTCTAGAGCTGTACTTGTGGTTCACTCTTGGCAATGCTCAGGGTGTCATGTATGGTTCCAAGGATAAAACCTGAGTCAGCCTGTCCCTCACACATGCAAGTGCCTTAGATCCTGTGCTTGCTCTCTGACACTTGACTTTCTTTACATTCCCCCTAATTCAGCCTTTCGTGTTTTGTTTTGTATACTGCATCTCTCTTTCTCTCTCTCTCCTCCCTTTCTCTCTCTTTCTCTTTGTCTCTTTCTCTTTCTCTCTCTCATTTCTTGAGCTTTTTGCTTTTTTTGTTTTCTTACTCTCTCCTTCCATCCCTCCCATTTTGTCTGCATGGAATAAACTTAATTTCATAATTTTCTTTCCATTCGTGTGTAATGTGAAAGTTCATTCTGTCTGTTTGCCAAATTTCTGTGTTAATTAGGGATGTATTAGTGAATTTAAAGCCATGAAAGAATATTCACATGTTTGGCATTTACTGCACTTTTAGATAAACTCCTGTTAGAAAAGTTTCTGTAAATCTAAGAATGTCCTACCTTTCTCTTGAATATGCTTTCTATGATTGAGTAATCAGTCTTAACTTTTTATTTAATTTAATTTATTTATTTATTTATTTATTTTTCTGTCAAACCTGATGGTGCTCAGGGCTTTTTCCTCCCTCTATGCTCAGGGATCACTCCTGGCAGTGCTCAGGGGATCATAACAAATTGACCAAGTTTAAGACAAGCTCCCCACCCTGTGAGTTATTGCTCTGGCCCACTTTAATTTTTAATTTTATTTAATTAAACATGAAGGTACTGGCAGAGGGACAAATCCACGCGGGTTCCGGGGCCGAGACCTCCAAGCCTACTGGGTTTGGAGTCGAGCATCTTCCATCCAGATCCTCCAAATTCCAGCAGGCGGGGGCCACACCCACCACCTGGCCCCCTGGCGCCGTGTAATCCCATCAGCGGCCAAGACTCAGAGACTATAAAATCCAGATCCCGGACGAGAACAGTGCAGTCTTTTGCCCCCGCGCCTGGGTGTCCCTCGCCGGGACCCCTTGGAGGGGAGCGGGTTGAGCTTTCCTCCCCGCCCCGACCGGGGCTCCGGCAGCCCAAGACCTCCAGGACCAGCCACCACCATGCTGAGACCACTCTCCGCACACATGAAGGTACTGGCAGAGGGACAAATCCACGTGGGTTCCAGGGCCGAGACCTCCAAGCCTACTGGGTTTGGAGTCGAGCATCTTCCATCCAGATCCTCCAAATTCCAGCAGGCAGGGGTCACACCTGCCACCTGGCCCCCTGGCGCCGTGTAATCCCATCAGCGGCCAAGACTCAGAGACTATAAAATCCAGATACCGGAACCGCGTGGCCGCATTTGCGGCCGCGCGGCATTTTATCAAAACTTTTTTTTTATGACATCTTATTATCTCATTCCTACTTTGGACATACTTGCAGGCTATCGAATGTAGCCTGACCACAGGGCAGAGTCTGGCAAACTCCCCGTGGCGTACCAAACATGCCAAATACCAGTAACAATGATGGGTCTCATTCTCCTAAAGAGCCGTGAATATAATCTCCGGGCTAGGATGAAAGAGACGTTACTGGGGCCTGCTCGAGACAATCGACGATTAACAGGATGATGAAATGAAATGAATTAACTTAAAATTAACTTTGATCTTGGTTAGTGTCTACTGAAGGGAAACCACAGTTCAGTAATGTTATAATAATATAAGAATTATTAATTTATACTGCATCTGAAATATATGTGAACATTAAAGGTTATAGTATTTGCATATTTAATATATGCATAGAATCATTACTATATGTTATGGTTTGGTCTATTGCTTATGAGTATACAGTACAGATTTATGTATAAATAATAATCTATCCTGGTAGATCATTTTGTTTCATAAGCACTAAAATTTAATTCTCCACTTCTGATTATTTTCGATTTGCTCGAGCGGGCCCAGTAACGTCTCCATTGGAGACTTTGTTGTTACTGTGTTTGGCATATCGAATACGTCACGGGGAGCTTGCCAGGCTCTCCCTTGTGGGCGAGATACTCTCGATAGCTTGCCGGGCTCTCCGAGAGGGGCGGAGGAATCGAACTCGGGTCGGCCATGTTGGCTGCATGCAAGGCAAACACCCTACCGCTGTGCTATTGCTCCCTTACTTGTGGAAATCTGTTTTTTTACTATGCTCACAAAGGCTCTTATAAACCATTGAAAACTAATCGCAACTCTACACATAATTTTGAAACCATCATTTCTTCAACATTGATTCAATTGATTTCTGTTTTTTGAAATATTCTTTCATGTTTTAAACCTTATTATTCTATATATTTTTATTAAATGTATCTGCAATAGAAAATGCATTTATATGAATATTTTCATGAATGCACATTATTTTCCAATTATATTTACTACGCAAAAATATTTTAATTTCAGAACTAAGCATATCTTTAGGTTTAAAAAATGTTGATAGAATTAATTTTACATATAAATTAAGTACTCTTTTATAGCAAACACTATTTCTTTGAACTTGGTTTTAGTTTCTCCACAATATCTTTTTTTAATGCCGCATACATTATGTCCTGTTTTAATGTTTGATCTACAAAATATTCATTTTTTGGATCACTAGGTATTGCCATCATCCTAAATAGTAATATGTGTATTTACTGACATCATAAATAATTATCAATTATTTAAAAATAGTTATTTTTAAATAGCTACAGAATCGACAATGTATTTACATGTAACAAAATGTATATATAACATTATTTAATTTTCAAAGAAAACAAAGTGATAAAATGGGTATAAATACTTCAAATTTAAAAGGGCAACATTAGTGAGCATTACCCTATTTGATGAATTGCTAAATGACTTTAGCCTTGCAATTTTATAATATGATTAATCAGAAGTGAAAAGCAATCATTTCAATTTTTAATACTACAACATCTGTCACTTCAGCCAGTGTCCATTTCCCACCACCAATATCCCCAGTTTCCCTTCTTTCACGCCATGCCCAGTTTACCTTTATGGAAGGCACTTTTCTTTTGTTTTGAGGTAAAATTTCATTTAAATAATAAATAAATAAAAATAAAAAGGCCCTCCCGTTGATCGTCGATTTGCTCGAGCGGGCCCAGTAACGTCTCCATTGGAGACTTTGTTGTTACTGTGTCTGGCATATCGAATACTCTCGGTAGCTTGCCAGGCGCTCGGAGAGGGGCGGAGGAATCGAACTCGGGTCGGCCATGTTGGCCGCTTGTAAGGCAAACGTCCTACCACTGTGCTAACGGTCTGATTTGAAAGTCACCTCTGATTAAGGTAAACAATGACCAGAACATCTCTCATAAAAGATCCTTTCAGGTTGTGGTTGCAGGGAAGGATTAATAGGAACTGGTGAGGCACATCCAGCAGTGAAGTCTTTTTTTTTTAACAGTGAAAGACTGATTTGCAAATTTATGAATACAAATGTACCTGACAGCCTTCATCTCAAAAGCCTCACAAATGGCCTTGGCTGACACTAAGTGGGTAGGAAACAAGCAGGAGAGAACAAGAAGGTGCGGCTTTGTTTGTGTGCTACACAGTGTTACAGAGATGAAAAATGCTGGCAAGGGTCCTGGCTTCCAAATCCTTGTGAGAATCCCCTGTCTGCATTTTATCTTTGGGTGTTATATAGCTACTGATGGAAGGAAATGAAAGTCAAAAGGTGGAGGGAGGTAGACAGATGAGATGGGGGAAAGAGATGAGGAAAACAATCTTCAC